GATGAGGAGCAAAGCGACACTGTACTGCCAAAGTATTCTCTCATGTGCCTTCACATGCACATGAACTTGAGTGACATCCCATTTTTAATCCATATTGTTTAATGTGAACATTTAATATTTGCAGCTAAAACAGCACCAACTCTTCTGGAGAGGCTTTCCACCAGGTTACAAGTGTGTTTATGGGAATTTTAGATCATTCGAGCACGTTTGTGAGGTCAGACATGGATGTCGGGATGAAAAGTCCTGGCTGTGCTCTGATTAATCCCAAAGTTGCTTTCTTTTTTCTTTTTTTAAGGCTTTCAAGTGTTCCACACCAAACTCACTCATCCATGTCTTTATGGACCGTTTCTTGCCCACTGCTGTGCAGTCATGTTGGAACAGCAGGGGGCCATCCCCAAACTGTTCTCACAAAGTTGGCTGGATGAAATTGTCCAAAATTGTCTTGGGATGCTGAATCATTAAGAGTTCCTTTCAAACTAAAGGGCCGAGACCAACTCCTTAAAAACAACTCCAAACGTTGGTGACCTCTGTGCTCTACATGCCTCAGCAACTGCTGACTCCGCTCTGTGATTTTACGTGTCCTACCACTTCATGGCTGAGTTGCTGTTGTTCCCAGTTGCTTCCTCATTGTTATAATACCAATAACAGCTGACTGTGGAATAATTAGTAGCAAGAAAATTTCACATCTGAGCTTCTAAGAGCGATGCCGTTCTTTCACAGATGTTTGTAGAAACAGTCTGCATTTTGTACACCTGTGACCATTAAAGCAATTGGAACACCTGAATTCAATAATTTAGTAATTCTTCAAACTAAAACTAAACTGAAATCTAAAACTTGATGTGAAAAAACTTGTTAGTTTATGAAAATAAATATAAATGAAACTAGACATTAAAAAGAGAAAAGAAAAACTAACTGGACTAGAAAACTAAAATAAAAACAGTGAGGAGATATTTTTAGTCTTTTTAATAACACACGTAATTGTGTTATGTGTGCAGGCCAGAAAGACTTTAATGATCTATAGATAAAATAATATTAATACTAATTATAATACTAATAACGATAATGATAATGATAACAATAGTAGCAATAATATAATGCACTACAAATTAGAGGAGTGTCATTTCAAAGGAGTGACTGAGCTTACACCTGGCAGAGACACCAGGCAAGCAGGACAGGCAGAACCAGTTCAGGCCATTTTCAAACGTTGGGTGTGTTCGTCGTCACTCAGTTTATGTTACACACTTGTCAACACATATTACTCACCTGTTCCTTTTAAGCTACATGGCTGTGCCACACCTAAAGTAATGCTAGATACAATTGAAAGAATTTGACCTTTTGATTTGCGTTTACATTTCTTTCTATGTGCAACTGTTTCAAAGCATGCCCTTTTAGAACTGGATCATATAAAACAACAACAGCAGAAATATTTAGACCATGACATTTTGCCTTATTCTGCCTCTGTGCATCACTACAAAAACATTTCAGAACAGACAGCTGGGATGTAACTGACCTGCACGCTTTCAGTTCAAATTCAACAAAAATCCTGATTTAACTGTTTGGGAATCACAGCCAGATTCCATTTGGTGCAGAAACATCCTACAGAACCTTCCACGGAATAATTTACACCATTACAGCAATGAAAGGCATCAAATTAAAACCTTGTTTAGTCTTAAAAACATGCATTCCAGTATACACAATACACAAAATAATTCATTGAAAACCACTCGCTTCCTCTTAGGGATCCTAGGACTGAGCAAAATATATAAACACAATGCTTATCATAGCCTATGAAGTTTAACCTGTTGTACTCAAGGAGTTATTTATCATCTATGGGATGAGTTGTGTTTGCAACTTAAAGCATGTATTAACTTTGTCATTACACTAACTTACACTAACTTTGTCATTGGTAGATGTATATTTTTTAGCTAAGAGGACAAAAAAATCTATTTATTTATGAAGGACATAGCAGTACACAGAAAATCCTGGTTTTCCCCCAGGATATAAATGCAGCACGAGTTTGTGGATGTGTGGTTTGAAAGTTTCAAACGTCGCTCATACCACAGTGAAGAAAAAACCACCAGCACAGTGCAATTTAAGCATTTAACATAAGATAGCCTTTTATTTCACTATTTACAAAGACTTTACAATGTAGAACTCAGTTCGTCGTAGGGTGAAGAGGAGACAAGCAGAGGGCCGAGGTGGCATCCGGCTGGAGGTTAAGATCCGATCCAATCCCCGCACAACAACTTCTTTAAACAAGTCAATAAGCCGTCTTCACCTGTCTCAAGAGCCAACTCACACACACACACACACACACACACACACACACACACACACACACACACACACACACACTGGTTACTGTCATATCTGCTGAATCAGGACTTTATTTAGAGTCTGTCTGACAAAGTGAAGCAGGCTAAAGTAGAACATCATGACACAATCTAAAGAAACAGGTGAAAAACAAAGTTATTGACAGCTATCGGTCTCGAAACGGTTACAAAACCTTTCTCAAATTGTGGGACTGTTTAAACCACAGTGAGAGCTTTTATCCACAAACGAAGAAAACCTGGAACAGTGGTGAAGCTTCCCAGGAATGACCGAACTACCAAATGAGTCATCCAGGAGGTCACAAAAGACCCCAGAACCACATCTAAAAAATTGCAGGCCTCACTTGCCTCGGTTTAGGTCAAAGTTCATGATTCAACAATAAGAAAGAGACTCGACAAAAATGCTGTCTATTGGAGAGCTCAGGGACAAAACCACAGCTGAGCCAGAAAAACACAAAGGCTCGTCTCACATTTGACAAAAAACATCTTAATGAAGCGCGTGGATTTTGGATAAAGTTCTGTGGACTGATGAGACATGGAATGATTGCTCTTGTCAGATTACCTAGCCCGAATACTACAGAAACTGCTGATCTACTGATTTTCCACAGAAAAATCTCAAAGGTTGACAGAGAATAGTCGGAAAAAGATCAAATATCCAGTGAACATCAGTTCTTTAATGAGAATGCCTGGTTGATGTGCTACTTTGAGCTGACAGGAAGGCAACAGGAACTCAAATAACCATTTTTTTGGGTTTGGTTTTATAACAAATGTATGCAGAAGAGCATCTCTGAACCACTAACATGTCAAAACTTTGAAGCAGATTGACTACAGCAGCAGAAGACCGCAGTGAGCGCTGCTCCTGTCAGCTATGAGAAAACCATTACTTACAATGACGTCAGTCAGGTATTCCTACAAAATCTTCCTCTCCTTTCCTGGATTTGCTGCCTCTACACAATCTGCTGTTGTGAATACTCCCTTACATATTAACTGCAGCAATGCCTGCACATGTTCGGTGCACTACAGACATGATTCATGTCGTATGCCATGTAACAGACCTGTAGGAGAAAAATAAGATAATGATTTATAAGCCTATAAATCATGCTAACATTAATTAAAGAGTTTTACTGTAACGTTTTGTAAGCATATTCAGTCAGAATGGGGTAAATCAAAAGTCAGCCGTGCCTAAAGTTTTGCATCACTTTTTAGTTTTGAGATGACTCACAGTTTCTTATATTTTTTATTGGTTCATTTCACTGAAAATAGCACCGCAATAGTGGCTTTGCAGCTGCTAAATTTAACTTTAAGTTTTGATGTTTAAAACCGAGTAAGGAGAAGCGCTTTGATCTGAAACACTACAACAGCGCCCCCCATGTGCTTGCAATTATTATAATACAAAGGATGGAAGGCAGACGATGCCAAGGAGCGGGGTTACTAAAACTAGCTGTGAACTCTCCCCCAGACACAGACACAAAAAACCCCAAACTTAAAAACATTAAAAACATCTCTGGCTGCATCAGCGCCAGAGATGCTGGCAGGATCAGCACAGGGCTGGATCATCACTGGCCAGAATCTATCCTCCCATAGACTCTTCTATGGGACTCTTCTGCCATATTATTGCTCTATATAAACAGTTTAGATATTAAATAAGAATTAATTTAACAGGAGAAATAAAACAATGCACAGTTTGATACACAAGTATAGCTTCAAACGAGTGACTCAGCCTGCACCAGACACAGACACGAGACAAGAAGGACAAGTTAGACCAGGTGAATCATTACTCAACTTTACACTGATTCAACCTGTCCTAATTTTTTTGGTGTATCTGTCCTTACTTGGTTTATATTAGAACTTGTCAACGTGCTTCAGTTAACACATTACTCAGATATGGGAGTTGCACGCTCCCTGAAACTACAGGATTGTACCACACCTAAAGAAATGTAACAGAAACACGTGCCCTGTTGATCTACAATCACAATGTTCCCTTTGTGTAATTGTGTCCTTTTAGAACTGGGTCATTTCATTCCCAAGTCAACGCGTCACACAAGAACCAGTCATCAGAAAACAGATCAATCATCCAGGGTACCACAGCTCATTGCTGTTTCTCTGCAGAATGGATATTTTGCTTTTAAACATCGATATGTCCCATAATGCTGTTCTCACAGTTGGCTGCAGAAAAAAAATATTGTGCTGGGAAAAAACAAGGTTGCAGGTTTAGATTGTGAAAAACTGCTTTACTTAGAATTTAAATATGTTTTCCAACCCTGAAAATTTAACCTGTCTTGCTCTTGTTCATATAAAATTCTGACGCTCAAACAGGCAAGAAAATACTTTAATTTAAAAAAACAAAAAACAAAGCTTTGGCTTGCCCCTTTTCACTTTGAGGCTTGTAACGCTGAACATATTCACAGTACAAAGACAAAACTTCCCATGACTTCATTTAAAGCCCTAAAACTGTTATAGAAAATATTCTAATGTGAGCAAGTGGAAGTCGCTGATTTATTTACCCAGATGTTCCCTTAATGAGTATGAATATGAGCATTAAACCAAGCACTCACAAGAGAAAGCGTGTGTCCTACATGTGTGCTATTTTAATATTTTAGCATATTAAGAGTCTCAATATTTTTTCCTCAAGGTCAATATTAAAATACGCAAACGTGTCTGTTGGTTTAATGAGAATTTTATTGCTTTGATGAATTTGTACATCAGTTCTGAATTGTTGAAGCGTGATCTGCATTTCATTGCTTTGGTCTTGACATAATACAGAACAAAGTTTAGCTTCCAACACATTTGTGTCCATAAATCCTTACACAATGAGACAATTCCTGTAAGTCTGCCTCTGCACTTTAAATCAGACAATCAAGATGTACCAGAGTTCATGTCTGTCAGCTCACATTCAGGGGTTCTAACAGAAGTACTGCATTAACAGCTTTAGTCATGTTTTTAAAGTCAAATTCCCTTTCGTGCACACATTTCTTATGGAGCCTCAGCAAAGGATAGATTAAGAAATAAAGTTTCTAATTAAATCTATCTTAAAAATATACATTTCAGCATACATGACGATATTCACCTTTACTGTGAACGTGTGGCAATCGCGGTGCTGTCGAAGTAAACTCTTTGCACACTTTCCTGAGCACCTAAAGGGTTATGAGTTACAGTTAAATTAAGACAATGCCCAGTAAATGCACGCACGCAACATTGTGGTGTGGCTGGGGAGAGGGAGGTCTGGGCTTCTCTGCTTAGGCTGCCTCCTCCGCGACCCGGCCCCGGATAAAGCGGATGAAGATGGATGGATGGATGTTTTAATCCAAACTTTATTACCACATTTCATCATTACAGTCTTTGCCATAACTTTAGAGACATTATTATAGTCATTTATTGCTTTATATAATGCAGAGGAACAACCTCACGTGTTTTGTAGAAATACAATTGCTATGATTGCTATGAGCATTACTACAAACTAGACAGGAAAGATTTTAAAGACAAATCATTTATTCATGACTGTAACTTGTGTTTTATGTGATTACTGGACTTTTCTAAGAATGGTTTAAAGGAGTGTAAAACAAATTCAAATGAAAACTATTTCTAACAAAAAAAATCATGCATCACAGTTTATACAGTGTCATCGATTTTTCTATGGACTTGTTGGATCCTTGGAAGCTGGAGAAATAAACTCTCTGAACGCCATCGTCAGCACCTGAAAGAACATGAGGAAAAGTTCAACTAAAGCAATACACAATAAAAGCACACAAGCCTTAACGTGGTGTAAGTAAAACCTGATTGGCAGATGAAGTTGAGGCTCTCCTCACAGGGCTGGTCCTGCCACAGGAGGTGTTCTGTGCTGGCCACGCCTCCACAGGTGCTGGAGTAACAGTCTGGAACAAAATCCTGTGGCCAATTCAAGAAATTCATGGACTGTCCAGACATCCAGAACCACTCGTCTCCTCTGAGGGATCTGTTGGACAGAACAGATGAACAGATCTGAACAGATTTACATTTATCGAGATGTTGCTCTTTATGGAGCATATGGGCGTTTAAAAGCTGCTTGTTGAATTTCACATCAGCTGGATGATCCATATTTATCTTCTTGATGTTGTGTAGGCCTAAAAGAACAATGACAATCATTTAAAAAAAACAGAAAAAAACCTTGGTACAGCAGGTTTGTTGTGTTTACAGTGAAAGCTGTTTGCAAAGTGGCCTATTATTGCAGCAATGGCAGAAATGCAAATGAGAAAATGGAAGGACGCACAACGCAATGCAAAGATCTGCATCTGCATAATTTGATTTGCAAAGTTTGCAAATTGTCACAGACATCATGCATCATAAGAGTACAGGGTAGTGCATCGGGCCTCTTAGTATTGTGCAGGAACCTTGAACATCACAAACCTTATTCATTAATTATGAAAAAAAAAAACACAACAAAATTGGTAGTTTTTGTGCAATTATACAGCACTTTTCCATTTGTTTGTTATTTTGTTTTTTTTAGAAGACATTTGCATCTTATCGCATCCAAACATACTTATGTTGTACACCATCAGGACCAATTTGGGGGAACTGAATAGTTTGCGGACTACTGCAATAACTACTGTATCAGTACCTGCGCAGTCCCAGCCAGACGTGGTCTGTGAGGGAGAAAGGAACGAGGCTCAGCAGCTGCTCCAACTCGCTTTGCTCCTGTTGGTTGTGAAGGCTGAGCAGGTCCCAGTAATAACGTCTACAGTACATCAGAGCATCAGACCAGCAGAGCCTCTCTCCCACAACCGTCACGTTCCTGCCACCAAGCTGCAGGCTCACAGGTGGAGGAGGGGTGGGAGGAGGCGGAGGAGTTGGTAAAGGAGTGACAGCTTCTGGAACTACAGGGAAGTACTTTGCTTTAGGATTCTGTTTGTTTAAGCCAGTTTGGTTGTTATTGTTTTCCTTTCATTTTAACATGTTCCATTCAAATATTCTGCAGTTTAATGGTAAATACAAGAAAAACAAATCAAAACAGTATAAATCTTACAATAATAATTTAAGCACACAAAACCACAACAATTTCTAAAAAATAGCACAACAAGACCCTACCAGATAGAGAAGCAAACACCTCCACTTCACACAGGGTTGTGTAAGTCTTTTTTCCTGGTATGATCACAATGATGTAGCGACCTTCCATTTCATTACACTGGAATGTGTATGTTGGTGTACCATCTAATGATGTGATCATGCCACAACTGATGGATGTAGAGAAAATTTTAAAAAGTTTCAGTGTAACTCTTTTAAATATAATGTTCAGTTTTTTAATAAGGAAAAAATGTTTATGGAGAAATGCATATTTATCAGAAATCAGATCTCACCTGGGGTTCATGTTACCATTTTGATCCAGCGAGTTCCCGATCAGGATCTGTGCCCCAAGAATCCTTGGAATAAAAGCATCCTGTCTGTTGATGATGGTGACAGCACTGACTTTATAGACAGCCAACAAGTCTACTCTCCACCAGGGACCCAGATCTTGATCATTGTGTGTACAGCATCCTGAGTTCAAGTTTCCATTTTTGCACCCATCAGCACCCTTTGAGGGCCCAAACACTAGCCCATACCAAGTTGATGACTGTACTGTTTGTTTGTTTAAGGCCACGTTTGGAAGCGGTTCAACTAAATTGTTGAAAAGAAGAAACAAGTATGAATGAGTATCAGGCAGATGTGTTTCAGTAGATCAGATCCAGTCGCTTAAAGCTCTACCTGCTGGGGCAGCATACACCTCCACTTCACACAGGGTGAGAGTCTTCTTCTGTCCAGGAAGAAACACATTCACAAAGCGACCCTCCATGCTGCCTCCATCACACCGGTATGTGTAGGTTTTACCCGCTTTGATATGTGAGATGGAAGCACACCTGACAGCAGAAATTGTGTTATACCTCTCTGACCTGTCTTCCCCATGTGATGCTGTGCAATGTATGTACGGTCGGAAGGGTAAGATGGCGCTGGCAAAAGGTCGGCAGCCTTAACCCAATTTCCTTCGGGGTCAACCTTCAGGATCAATATTGACAAGCAGAGAGAGGAATGTGTTGCGAGACTTGTGTGCAGTTTATGCTGTAAAGGTGGGCGTGTTACCTGCTTGTCTATGGAGCAGTGATGAAAATGATATTAGATAAGTGTCACAGTGTGTTAATACAGGTGGCTACGGACCTTGATCAACCTTCCACCATGAGCACAGCAGCCGGAGCAAATTGATAGATAAACATAATGGGAACCACACCCAGCAACAATCAGCAGCTGTGAAATGTACAGCAGCAAGGATGGAAATGAAGGTTTTAAGAGCACATAAAATTGTGTTGAGATTTGGGGCCAACTGACTTGTGGAGGTTGGGAAAGTGCCTGGAACATCGCAACAAACAAAAACACGCACAGAGGGTTTGCTGGATCTGCAGCTCCACTGAACACACATAGAATTAACCCGCCTACTAATGCACACATGCAATGAAAATCAGCTTACACTCATTAACACGTGAATTTCAGCAAAGTTAACTTAAAAAAAGAAAGACTGGTATGTCCAACCAGTGATGAAACAATACATTTAGATAAGATAGTCAAATTGTGAGATGGTTTCTGCTTATTGAACAACACAAATGACCTTTTGTGAGTTTAAACGCGATCTTAAGAATTTAAATATGTACATGTACAAATGAGTTAATTATATCATTAAGGGGGGGCTGACACAGGGCCTGGCAAACGTGCTCATGAGAGTTGGAACTCAGTCTTCTGAAGGTCATAAGCTTTGTTCGGCATGACTGATATATTGTGGGAAATGACTTAGAGTGCAGAGGGGTCATTGCAAACATGCTTACACACCTAGGTTATGTTTAGAATAAGTCTGTGGGTCATAAAGTAACGAACATGTTATACTAAACCAACTTTGAATCACTAGATTCTAGTGAAAATGAAATGAAAAAATAATGTTCTTCTAGTGACTAGAAGAACATTATTTTTCTTGCATCTAAATTTCCCAAACACAGCAGTTATCCCACATATGGTCCACCTATTAAAGGGGGACAGAGGGTTGAGAGAGAGAAAAGAAGCATGACAACTAAGAGAACTGACACCTAGTGGGTAACAAGAGAGTGTGTGTGTAATGTTTGGAGAGATGTGCTGCACTTTCATTCCCAACAATATAGCCCCAGATGGTTCTGTAACTAGAGCATCTTGTCCACGGACACAACGACCAGGACAGAGAGCGCGGGGATCGAACCAGCGACATTCTGGTTACAGATGCGCTTCCCAACCCCAGCGCCACGGTCGCCCCGCAAGTGACTTGTGTTTGAGAAGAGCTCAAAGGGGGAATTGTGAGATTATTACACTGTCTTATGTTACATTAAACCTCTGATTTAAGCTTATGAAATCATTATATAGTTTTAGGTTGCATTATACTCCTGAGTTAGAAGGTGAAATTATTATATTGATTAGACTGATTTGTATTACATTAGACTGCTGATTTACTGTGAATGAATTACACTGTTCTATGGTACTTCATACTGCTGATTTATAAAGAAAATACTGTTTGCGTAGAATCATGGCCTTGCTTTTCTGATTGTAGGAAGAACAAAACATACTGCACAGGAAGCCAAGGTCGTAACTTAGGCTCAGTGAGAGAGAAAGAATGTGGATGCTTAGTTTGGAAGTAAGAATGTGAGAAATGGTCAGACACTTTGAGATTTTGCCGGACACCCTCCAGTGCAAATCTCCTGTTCGGACGTTTGAAATGCTCAAAGTGTTGTATGGAATAAAGAGAATTGTATTGATTAAAGAGATTGTTGATTGAGCATTTATACATTGAGTGTTATTCTTCCTTCAGCCCAAAGATCAAAGAGTTGGGATATTTAACAGGGCAGTATTATGTTAATGTTGTGGAGTTCCAGTTCAGGAGGAAGTAACATGAAGTCCTGAACTAGTCCTGTGGTGGATAATATGTAAATATTGCAATCTCTGAAATATTGCTGTTGAAATTATTTTAAGATGAAACAAACAAAGAAAAAATCACAATGAACATTGACTGGTATGAAGTCATCATTACCTGGGATTATTGTTTCCATTGTTCTCCAGTGAGTTTCCTATTCTGATCTCAGCTCCATCCAGTCTTTCAGCACAGCAGTCTCCTCTGTTGGTGACTTTTACAGCAGTGATTGTAAAGCTTCGCTGCAGGTCCACCCTCCACCAGGGGTTGGTCTCGTCTTCAGCCGTGTGGCTACAGAACCCATTGCTATAGAACGAGTTCCGTCTGCCATCGATGGCTTTGGACGCAGTGGCAACAGAGAGTGTAGATGACTGGGTAGCTTCTCCTTTGAGTGCCACATTGGGTAATGGGTATCCTTGAAGGAAAACCAAGAAAACAATAATTTCTTTTGTTTGGGCTCTGACAACTCTTATTGATTTATATAATAAAAACACAAAGAATAATAATACATAATGTTGTTAGAAATTAAAAACACCCTGACATGAAAGCTGTCATTTTCCTTTGACTCAGTAAATTACAGTCTTATGTATCAACATAATAATTAAAGGTGTTTACCGTAGTACACTTCAACCTCACAGAGACTTAGGACCTTTGCACTTCCTGGTAAAAACACAGTGACGTAGCGTCCCTTCACAGAGTTACATGGAAAATAAAACGCTTGTCCGCTGGGAATGAGAGAGATGACAGCACACCTGTATATAACAGATTCAAAAAGAAAAAGTATAAAAATTAAAAATAAATAAGTCCCACTGATATAATGATAACTGACTTATGGGTATATATCGCATTCTTTCACCTGTTACTTTCAGGGTCACTGATTTTTGTTGAATTTCCGATCCAGATTTCAGCACCATCCAGCCTGTTTCCCAATTCATCTCTATTAGTTATCATTACAGTCCCAATTGTATACACATTTACCAGGTCTACTCTCCACCAGGGATCAGATTGTTCACTGGTAAGTGTGCAAGACCCTCTTTGATAGCTTGCATCTCTGTTTCCATCAACTGCCTTACCAGCAATACCCACAGTGCCACTGGTTGAAGATTGGACAGCTGTTTTTTTCAGTGCCAGGTTGTAAAGAAGTTGACCTAAATAATTTAAAAAATGCATTATTAATCAAAACAGCTAGTACTGAGCAGAACCAAACCTTTGAATATATGTTGCAACTCTTCACTGATTGCTCACCTTGAATGTTTAGAGTCAAACATAATATACAGTGCTCTGAAAGGCATTTGTCCCCTTCTTGATTTCTTTTTTTCTGTATACTTAACACAGTTACATGTTTCATGTCATCAAACAAATTTGAATAATAGACAAAATAACGAGTAAATACAAAAAAAAAAGTTTATTTAGGTAAGAGTTCATTTATAAGAGAAAAAAACTATCCAATCTGCCAAATAGAGACAACTTGGAAAAGTCGGGAACGTTCCCGGGATTTTCAACCAAAATCACTGCAAGAGTGCATTGATGACTCAACCAGAGGTCACACAAGAACCCAGAACAGCATCCAAAGAACTACAAGATTCACTTGCTTCAGTTA